TCTCTCTCACACACACACACACACTCTCTCTCACACACACAGACACACATGCACACGCACACACAGAGACACACACACACACTGTCTCTCTCACACACACACACACACTCTCTCTCACACACACAGACACACATGCACACGCACACACAGAGACACACACACACACTGTCTCTCTCACACACACACACACACTCTCTCTCACACACACACACTCTCTCACACACACACACTCTCTCTCTCACACACACAGACACACATGCACACGCACACACAGAGACACACACACACACTGTCTCTCTCTCACACACACACAGACACACACACACTCTCTCTCACACACACACACACTCGGACGGACAGGCACGTAGGTCACGCTCAGCGTTTAGAGGAGCGCTGTAGGAGAGGTCATTACATCAGACGCTATAAATACACTCTGCGCAGACACTTCCTGTGGCCTGACGCGAGCGTGAGCCCTGCAGAGACACTGACTCTACGCATATCTGGAAACACAGAGGTCATCACGGGGTCTGTCCCAACTCTAGTGAGCTCCCTACTAAAGCATCATCTTCACCGAAGCAGAACATCATTCCCGACTCATTTAAATAACACTTGATTCAGTGCATGGGTTAAACTCATGACGTGATACTCTAATGAGCATAATGACGATTTTTGATCGTGGATGATTAAAATGTCTCCACAATCTGCTTTTGATGAAATATGGTAGTATCGCGCTACAGTGCATATTCTATCAGCTGCAGTTCTGCCGTCTCTCTCTCAGTATACTGTACAACGTCACATACATTCACATCAAATGTTACTCAGCAGAAGAGCTACACTCACGGGACGCTGCACTTATTCTCAATCACAAAACTACATTATTTGCATTTCATTGGCGTGCTGTTCTGTCATGTGCTTTCACCTGAAGCGTGCGCACACTACAAATCCTGTCAAACACCGCCTGATTACTGGACTGAGTCATCTTTCACATCTGATTGCGCTAATACTGTCAAAAACACACAAGCTTTACATATAAACACAGTTGGTTATGTCTAAAGTGAAAGTAAACACTAAACAGTTGAGAGAAAACTGACGCGTGCCTGGATATTAGATGTGTGTAGGTCTTAAAGTGACAGCAGACTGATAATACTAAACATGCTGCCGCTTGATTCTTCAAAATAACTTTTGTGTTCAACAGAAGAAAGAAACTCATTCAGGTTTAAAACAACTTGAGAGTAAGTCAGTGATGACAGAATTTAGATTTTTGTGTGAACTGTCCCTTTAATGTTAATAAAACAACAAAACAGATATACACAGTATAGTTTAGACAGTGAAGTGTATTATTATAGTGTTTTATTTTTATATTTGTTGATTCAGTGTTTTGAATGCTACTGCTAAATACACCTACTGTACCTGAAAAATAAAGCACTGTTTGTTTTATTTGTATATTATGTGTATTATAATGTATATCTTTGTTGTTATTTTTTAATACCAAAGATAAAATAATGATAAAGATTTTTATCTTTTCCCACTTTGGCCTAAATATCTGCCATTCTTTTTTTATTTTACATTTTATTTTATATTTTGTTACCTTGTAAGGCTGTGTTGTTTAAAATAGGGACATTAGTTAGGCTGTGCTGCTCAGACAACTTCCAAAATAGTAAAACCAACATCGTGATAAAATCGTGAATCGTGATTTTCCTGAAAAACAATCATATGATATTTTTGCCCTAAAATTTCATAGAGCTTGTTGCAATGCATTCTAGGATTTGGCAAGGTATGGCAGTTACTCCCTATGTAGGCAGCTCACTGGAACAGAGCTCTGTGTGCATATGTGTGTGTGTGAGAGAATGTGTGTGTGTGTGTGTGTGTGTGTGTGTGTGCATGTGTGTGTGTGTGAGAGAGAGAGTGTGTGTGTGTGTGTGTGTGTGTGTGAGAGAGAGAGAGAGAGAGAGAGAGAGTGTGTGTGTGTGAGAGAGAGAGTGTGTGAGTGTGCGAGTGTGTGTGAGTGTGCGAGTGTGTGAGTGTGCGAGTGTGTGAGTGTGTGATTGTGTGTGAGTGTGAGTGTGAGTGAGTGAGAGTGTGAGTGTGTG